TCAACCCACAAAACGAGCGCCCCGGCCCTGGCGCTGGCCTGCCTGCCGCCCAGACAGGCCACGCCACCGCCTCCTCCACAAGCGGGGGTACGTATGTTAACGCCCAGTTTCAGACATTTAAGCGCCCATAGTCGTCGCTTTTTAAACATCAATGCGATTGCATTTACCCCATCTGCTGTTTCAGCTTCGATCCCAGCACCCTCGACACTCGTCCATCCATCCTGTGAACAGGACCTGCCGTCAAACAGCATGTAATTTCTTTAATGGTTTTTCCCACTCACACTCTCCTCGTTCGCTGGTGCCGCAATTCCCAACGAGTGTGTCCGAAAATAAATAAAAATCAAATTTCAAATGAATTAAGGTGCCAAAAATCAAAGACTGGGAAAACAAGTGGAAAATTTTAGACAACGGTTGGAGGAGTATGACGAATAATAAGGCTGTTTTGTTAGCAATTAATTGAAAATAAATATAAGAAAAATTAGTTAAATCAACAACCACATTTTTATAAATTATTAAAGCAAAATATTAACGGAAAAGGGTTGATTACTTTTTTTAAAGAGTTATTTTCCCATCACTTTTCATCTTAGCTTATGCTTTGGCTTGTAAAAGGGATAGTAAATAACATAGTTCTTATGGGAACATCAATTTCATATTCACCAACTTATTCCCTGTTCTCAGCACTCCCATAAAAATCGGTTATTATAATTGAAGTATATCAAACCGTAAAATGTTTACAATTTAATTACACTCTGAAGTAGCTCGGCCAGGTTCGTGTGCTCCTCCTGTGTGTTTGTGTGCCTAAACGCATTAAAACACTTCATTATGCCTAATCCTGTGTGACGTAACAAAAGCCAGACACGCACACGCATACGCACACCCAAGCTTCGCCCGGAGAACCCTTCTGGACGAGCATATGCCACTCGACTACACTTGAGCAACTCTATTAACAAGGCGGGGACGACTCCAGGAAGGGGTGAAAACGTGTACCATTGAAACTACTCTCTGCCGGGGCATCCGGATCTCGGGCTTGGACTCGCTTTAATGGCGGTGAGGCTACACGCTGGCATTTGCATGTGAGAGGCGGAACAGGAGCCGGGAATCACGGCCTGTCAGAAACCATAAAGTGTGTAAATACCTTGTTTCAACTTTGTAGTTACCCCGGTTACACGGGGAGAATTAATTCAATTAAGCCAATTTTCCTATCAAATTAAGTCAAGTAGGAATATATAAATATTATTCATTATGATTAAAAATATCTTCATAAATAGTTTATGCAATTTAAATTAATATAAATAAAAATCAACCAAGAAGTCGCATATCTCGTGGTTTCTCTTACACTTGGACACTGTCTAATCCTATTTTATTTAGTTAACAATTATATGTTATGTATATTATTTATTAAATTATAATATATCATCGATTTCCCTCTCTGTATTGAAGGTATCCCTGACATTCAGAGGCCGCGCACGTGTTGTGAGGCACTCAACCACTTTGATTTCCGCGTTGTTTGCCATTAATTTTACGCCTGATTTCAAGCCGTGCAGTATGCTTTCTGATTGATAAAAATCTCACGGGCAGCTGCCCTTAGGGTAACGAACAATAAGCGTTTCATAAACTATGGGCATATTAATTTAATTTCATTTTCTCGATCCTCTCGGGCCAAGTGAACAGTTTGCCATGTGTTGGGCCAACAGGCCACACGCCCTAAACTGTTCACTTGGCCGGGGAGCTAGACTATATCTGGCTATATCCATCGGCAGCTAACTAAAGTTGATCACATAATTGCCGGAATCTCAGCTCGATCCGCTTGAGTTTGGCTCAGACTGGCGCCGAGCGACTCAGGATCGAAGTCGAGTCCCGTTCTCGACCATTTTAATTGCAATAATAAATCTGGCCTGCTTTGGGAAAGTGCCTGCCAATGCAAATGCGGGGAAGGTTGGGAAAAGTCGGACCGAAGGGCAGAAAATATCCGGGAAGGTTGGGAAGGGAAGGGTGCAGCAATCGCGCATATCTTAAGCCGATCTAATGCCGATATCCCAGGTATATATCACTGCTACCGTTTTCGCTACCTTCGTTCTGTGCGTCTGGCTGCTCCGTTGTGTTGGCAACAAATTGGATTACAATTAAATTGCATTTACATGCTCCGCCTTTGTTTGTCCCGGAGACTCTCAATTAAAACTTTTCCATATTTCTCTATATTTTTTTGATATGGAAACCTCGGTACGTCCAGCTGTGCTCGGTTTGAGATTTGCCCGATAATTGGATAGGATCGCACAGACCGAGGACTGATACTGGGAAACAGTATCATTAGGAGTTGTGAGGAATGTAACAATAAGATCTGGATTAATAGTAGATGTAAATATTTGGGGTATTATTAAATGAAGTAGACTACCTTTTGGTTGTTTCCCTATTCATTTCCTGTTTTATAATAATATCCTTTAACTATTTTAACTCCTGGCTTCTTTGGTGGCAATAACCCCACACAAATCCAGCCATAATGCATCATCATTAGCCAAGTCCAAAGAGCCCTTTTTGGGCATCGCTCCTTCGACGACTCCTTCCTTTGTGCTGTGATTGCGTTGGCTTTTAACATTCGCCCGAAAAATAATTGAATTGTTCTTCGTTATTTATTTTATTATTTTGCTTGTCTCTTATTATTGTTCAGCTTACTTTGGGCCGAACCCACACACCCACAGACACACACAGAGCCAATGGCATCACTATCATCCAGGGCCAGCTCTATGAGCCATGGTTTCTGTGGGTAAAATTGGCGGAGAATGGCTCCGGAGGTGGAGGAGGTGGGTGGGTCTGAATGCGGAGCTGGCTCTAGATGGGTAGCACTTTTGCGCCATCAAAACGGCGCGTCATAAAATACGTTGCATTTGCCATTTACGATGTGATTTCCGTTTTATCTTTGTTTCCCCCGTTTTCTTTTTTCTTTTTTGTGCTGCTGTCTTGCTTTTGCGTGGCTTTGTTCTTGTGCTTCTTCGTTGCGGCTTTGTGGTGGGTGGTTAGGGGTACACTGAGAGAAAATCAGCAACATATATTCGGGTTTGTTTAAAGAATAAGCATTTATTAAGGTTTTAAACATTATTTCTTGAAAGGAACTAATTGTCTCTCGTGTAATTGTGATCCCCATGAAAATGAAAGCAACAAGTATTATTAGTGGTCCGGCAATACACGATCTAAACTTACGAAATTCAAATTACAACAAACTAACTGATGTGGAAAATCATTTGTTTCTTGTTTTATTGACGATCCTGGCACATAAGACAGAAATCTTTTCCCTTTGAATCCCCAACTCGCCAACGGGGGAAAGGAAGTATTACTATCTACCTGTTTAATTTTTTAAATTATAATTATTGTTATTTATTTATGTATGTCTTTTGCTCTTATATAGCTGGACTCGCAGCAAACTGTGTATCGCGGGCATCCTCTCAAATCTTTTCAACATAAATCAAAATTATTTATGTACAGGCAAATTATTGGCCTCACTGATAGCTTGAAAGTTCTTAGAAATTGTTTCGATTTTTTTTTAAGAACAACTAATAAAACTACAAAATAATATTCTGAATCATTTAAATCAAACATTTTCAAAACATTTTTGTACGATTTTTTTGATTCGCTGGTATTTTTAATCATTTAGAAGATCTCCCAAATGACCCAAAGCTTAGCCATTTATAAAACGTGTCATCATATTGTTGGTTAATTATTAATAAACAGAATTTCAATATATGTATATGTACAATATATACATTTTACACATAAATGTGTTTATACCATGTTTCGAAGCCACGAGAATGACCCAACTCTATTTAACATTTCGGATTTCCAAACCTCCAAGACATTTTTAATGGCATCTCAGATCAATTTAAGATAACTTGGATGTATTTTGGCTCAGTGCAGCAGGACTTCGTGCTGATACCATTGGGGATTTTGCGCACAAAGCAGTGCGAAATTGAATGTGGGATTTGGCAAAGAGATAGACGGGCGGCGCGCCCCTCTGTGGGCTGTATTTGCGTGGGGTTGGTAATTTTATTGCGATGCTTTTTATGATGTGGCGACAAATTGATATTTCCCCTTGACCGGGAACGAGCGGGGGCGGACGGAGCAAGTGACTGGCCGCCGCCTTTGAGGGCCAATTGAGCTGCACGGCAGAAACCGCAACGGTCCTGCCTCCTTCTAATGCCGCCAGGACACATGAAGCACTCTGGGCGGTCGGCCGCCCGCTGAGTCGCCCCGCTCGTCGTCTTATAAAATAATTAAGTCTTAGCCTCTATTTGTCCCCTTTGTCTGTCGGCGCGGCGGTTTGTGTGTGTTTGTTGTTCGGGTGTCCGTTGTGCGTGCGCATCCTAGCGAAATTAAGGACTTTAGCGCGATTTTCGCCATGTTTGCCGCTGCCATTGTCTGTGTGCCGACACAGGGATCTCCCGTTAAATTTGAAACTTTTACTTTTCCCCTCTCCACCTCGCTGACTCGCGGCCATTCATTCAGCGGGCTCGGCTTTATTCCGTTTTCCTTCTGCTGAAATCAACTGTAAGTTAATCGCATTAATCCCCGATCGTCTTTCAAGTGGATCCTTTGCGATCCTTTTGCCGGCAAAGCATTCAATTGCGAAATAACAAAGGTTTCCGAGAAGGGTTTGCCATGCACATCGGTCTAAAAATTGGCTGAATTCGATACTTGGAGCAGCCGCAAGATGGCTGAATTATGCAAATTTAGGAAGTAGCAGACGTGGCGTATAAGTGATATTTTGGGAAGAGTTGAATCTTGGTAATGTTTTAATCAATGTTTAATTTACAATTTATAAACATTTTACCAAAGATTTGACCACTCTTTTAAAATGGATTTTTCGTACAGCCTTTTTGAAGTAATTTCTAAAAGCTGCCTGAAATATGTTAATGTTACAAGTAATAGGCATAAAGTGCAATTGCAATTGTTAATATTTTATTTAAATGATAATAATAATATATTAAAGAGTCCGAAATGTTTTAAACTCCATGTTTTTCTTATTTGCAGACTAAAATATTAATAGGATGACTGCAAATTAAATCATTTTCCTTTTCGCCTGGGCGGCTCGGGGTCCATAACGCTGAGGTCATTATCCTGTGAATTCACAATAATTAAATTAAAATAAATACGTATCATTGCGTCATGAACTCACAGTTTCAACAGCGCAGCATATCAAATCATCGGGACATTGTGGACCGAGCGAACGTAACTCTACTTTTGATCCGCACACATTCTCCTCGACACAGACGTTTTCATTGTTTCTTCCGCAATATTGTTGTATCTGTTTAAATAAAACAAAATTTAATTGAAATTATTAAAACTGTTATCAAAACACAGGTCTTTTGCACTTACTTCGTTGATCCGGCAGCAAACTTGTTTGGATGGACATCCGGCTCCAATTGAGCGATAATCTATCAAAGTTTGGCAGTCTTTCTTATCAACACACTTGTATTCTCTATCTGATTCGCAAGTGATCGATGCTTGGGCGATTCCCAGTAAAGCTGAGATAGTCAGAAGAAGAGCAACTTTCCACTGTGATGCCATTCTGCAAGGTTCGAGTGTTGACTGATACGGTCTGAGAGCTCTGCGATGTTTTTATAGCCATTCGGGGCTTAAGCGATAAGCGATGTCCGTTGACCTTTTCAATGAGCAAATGAATATTTGTCACAGATTTTTTGAGAGTTCTGCGAATTTTTAAATGATTATTCCGCAGAATTCCAGCAGCTATTAGAAAAACCTTATTTACATTTATATTTTAGAGCTGTATTTATTAGCTATAGATTTTATATGCACACAAACTCTCTTTGAAACGTTTACTTATTTTAAGTAATAATTATTGAACTGTAATTCAGACACTTTATTTTGTTTTTTTGGTACACCCTCTGCTCAATGGGGATGAAAAAATTAAACCAATAATTTAGCTGTCAATTTCGCAACGCTGCGCTGCCCACACAGACGTATCGGATTCATGTGCCGTCCATCAGGCGAAGGCCGCTCCTTGGCCATTGAATTTCCCGAGGATTGATGGCGGAAAGGATTCGAATCGTACAACAATCGTAGCTGGCTCGTTCTATCCTTCCATTGCTGTATTCCTCCATCTCTCTGCCGGTATACTTGCTGGCAATTTCAAGGATGCCGCTGGAAATTGGTAATTTTATACGGTTGGCGGTGCCTGTTGTTCGGTCGGTCGGTCGGTTGGTCCGGTTGGCTCGATAACGGTCTCTTGATTGTGAATAATACAAAATAATTGCTTAAAATTAAACCGTAAATGCTTCGAGCTCCTGTGGGTTCCACTTGTCGGCTTAATGGGAAATACGAGCAGATCCATACTGTTCTTTGGTGTTTTGATTACAATGAGAATGGGGTTTCAAAGTTTTTGCTTATTGTTAAAGCCAAAACAAATAGGTTAATACCACTTTCAATAATCAAAGGCAACTTAAAGAACGATTTGCATATAATAAATGTAAATACATAAAACTAAATATTAAGTTTGAGTTGTTAATCCCTTTAAGCGTATGCACCTACGCTTGACACTCAATCAATGGAACTGAAAAGGATAAATCCATCAGTAGGAAAAGTTTTTCATGAAATGAAAATCATTTCAAATTATGTAAACATAACTTAACTTAATACTCCTCCATAACAAAGCATTGTAAACATAGAATTAACTTCCAATTAGGTTTAGTTGCCAAATATCTAGGTAACAGTGCACTAGTCAAATAAAATTTCATTATTTTTTTTTTCCAAAAAAAAAAAAAAAAAAAAAAAAATGAAATGCAGATAGTCGAGGGTAGGTAATGCGTAAGGAAATCGGAATGTAAACGTAAGCGGAAACGGAAATTGTTGAACTGTTAAAATCATAAAATATTACCGTTCGCAATACAATTTATTTAAATCAAAGTCTAGAGCGTTATTTACGAGCACTGTGGGGTTGGATGGGTACGTTTTTAGTCCGCTTTTGGAGTGGTTTGGGGCGGCCTCTTCGGCACTTCGGGATGTGTGTGTGTGTGTGTGTAAGTGTGGCGGGTGGATCGATGGGTTTTTTTTGGGGTTTGCGTGAGCTCTCCCTAGCTTTCTATCCCGCCATTGTTTGCATTCTAAAAGAAGACAAAAGCCAAGCCCCCAAAAGCGAAGGAAAAGCGCGTCACACAAATTTAGCTGACTAATAGCCGCAAATAGCCGAAAAGATGATAATGATGTGATGGGTGGTCAGCATAGCTATGCTAGGGTACACTGTCAAAAAAAAAGAGATAAATTAGAAAAGAAATATTCTTTTAAAATCGTGTTTACCATTTACTTTTTTTCAAAAATATATGATTATATGTGCTTATTGTATAAGCAAAATATAAATATATTAAAAATAATAAATCTATAACAAAATGTAGTGAAACAGTACCAAACTCCTTAAAAAAGTCCTTATCTATTTAAATCATATCATAATGTGGTACTCTTTTTATTCAATTCAAATCCACTGATAATACTAATTTGTATTCCTAGAAAAAGAAAACTGTTTTACATTTAGTGAGCAGACTTTTCCCCCAGTGTACGCAGCGTTGACGGGGTGGCGTGGACTAAGGACTACAACTCCATTTGCTTTTAACCATTCCATTTGGTTCTATTCAGATCATGGCATGTCCACTCCACGGTTATTGTTTTGCCATGCTTTCTGCCTATTATACAAAATGCTACACAGAGCCAACTAACAAAGGCCTTGCCCACTTGCCTAATGTGCCGGAGTTTGTGTGAGTTGCAAAATCGAAATTCCGGCAAAATTCCGAAATTGAAATGGAGCAGATAGGATATGCCTCCTGTCTCTACCCCTTGCCGGAATAATGTTAGTTTTTGTGTGAGTAACTTCAATTGCCAAATTAATTGCAGTTAAGTCGAGCAAGCTCGGCTTAGCTTCCCTCTCTTTCTCTGTGGCCATTGCCCTCTCTTTCTCTTCCTATCCATCTCTCTCGCTCGTCATGCAAAGTTTGCAGGCACGAATGTGTGTGTGTGTGCAAGCTAAAGTGGAGTCAATGAAAATTGCAACTCCCACTTTGCTCGTACGTCAATTAGACCCCCTTTCCATCTCATCTCCCCCTTTCTGGACCTCTCTGCAGGACCTCTCTCTCTCTCCCCGTCTCTTTGGCCCCCTCTCTTCCCCATTGCAGCCTTAGCTCTCTTAGCTCTTTTATTGCAGTGCAATTTGTTGTAGAAATCGTTTTGTCCGACAGTTGAACAGTTTGTTATTTCTTTTAAATGTTCCCCAGCAAAAGAGCTTTTCCGAATTTTTGTGGCTCGCCTTGGCCAGCAGCGGTCAGGCATTGAGATTAATGGCTTTTCCCTATTTCCTTCTTCCTAGCAACCCATTCGTATCCACTTTATCCTTTTATACACGGAAGAAACAGGTCCAGCCGAGTGTTATCTTTAAAGTTGCTTTTAAAACGTTATTTAATAAGGAAATTATATTTTTTATAAATCACTTATATTCTTAAAGCTATTATAATATATTTAGGAATATGAATCTCTCTAAATATTTTACAAAATAATAGAAACTTAATTCACAATTGGTTGCTAAGGATATTAACTACAAAATTCAGGTCTTTAGCTTTCCGAAATGAAATCATTGGGAGGTATAATAGGAAAATCGCACTTTCCATTTGTGAAATGGGATCGAAATGAATGTGGGACAGCGCCTAGGCGTCACTATTTTTGAACCGTATTTCCCCCAGATTTCCCGCTTCATTCTGCCTTTAAATAATACCCATACCCTCTCCTCAACCCTCGCCAGGACATTTTTACAGTCCCCAATCCCAGTCTAAAGTCTTACACGAAAACGAATCAAAAGCAAGCAAAGCACGTTGGGAAATTGCGGGAAAATGTGTTACGGACGCAGGTGATGGCTACACCTCCCCGGAGGAGGCTCGGGGTGGTGGAGAATAGGGTGTGCGAAACGGAAGGGGGTTGCCCTCAGCACTTGGAGACGCACTTTGGCAAAAGCAATCTTCTAAACAGGATAAATGTAATTGCGCATGAATTTCTACGCATATTTTGGCGTCGCTGTCTGAGCTGCAAATGTTTGTCCGTTATTTGTTTTCCTCTTTTTTTTTACTTTTAGCCTCCTCCGGTCTTTGCCGTCGCTGGAAAGCGTTCTCCGGCGGCTGAGGAGCAGCCACCCCATTGGCCCCGCTCTGGCCACGCCCCCACAGCAAGGAGAGCTCGCTCTCTAGCGCTATCTCACTCGCGGCCGGTGTCGCCGTCTCTCTCTCAACGGGTAATTGACTCGCATAATGTTTGTTTTGTTTCGGGCAAATCGTTTGCAACACTCTTTGAATGCCTCGTGGTTGTCTCGTAAAAAGCGAAAGCATTTAAAAATTCAATTTGCCCTCTCTCTCACTTCTCTCGCTCTCTCCATCTCTCTCTCTCTCTGTCAGACTCTCTCGCTCTCTTGGTCTGCAAAGCTTTTGCAGAGCTCCTTGGCAAAAATGGCCGCCTGTCTTGGCGCTTAGGGGAGGATTTCTCTTTGGCGAATGGAACAAGGTGGAATGGAACATGTTTGGAAAAGGAGAGAACCGAGAATAGAGAGTGAGGAAATCGCTTGGAGTAATGGCAAAGATGCAGGAAAGATAGGTTGTAGTTTATATTTATTCTTCAATTACAAATTTAATTTATTAGTTAAAGGTTTCTGAACTGTACTGCTGTACATCTATTAATCTTGTGATACAATATGTATATAAATTCTTGGAGTTTTCAAAACAATAGTTGTGCTGCCTAAAAGTATGCAATGATATCTTGATTATTTAAAAGTTTTGGAAACGTATTTCTGATTATTTAAAACCCAAAAAAATGTGTCCAAAATTATGCTAAATAATTTGACAACCTTAGAAATTTTCTCTGCATACTTTTAGACACTTTTTCAAGGGTTTTAAAACCCCTAGTAATATTTTAAGCAACCTAGTATTAGCTTAATTTTGAATTGCATTTAAGTTTAAGTTTAAGTTTAATTTTCATATCCTTTAGATCACGATACACCTTAGATATTTAAATATTTAAAGATTTTACTCTTACCATAGTTTATATATAATTTTACAGAATAAATATTTAAATAATTTATTGTTTTTTTCACCAAGGCTCTCCTTTGATATATTCTTTCTCAATTTCAACGATCCATATTCAATTTCCTTGATAATCCTTTCATTCCGACCTTTTCAAACCTAACCTTTGCAAATCGTTTCTCATCCGCTCAGACAGCCGCAAAAGTTGCAATCAATTGCTACATATTCGCCAACACTTTTCTGGTCGAAAAAGTTTGCATCTGGCTGGCTGGAAAATTTCAATGGCGCCACAGAGCAACACTTGACCCCTCTTAGGTGGCAATTGATTGATTTTATATTGGCATTTCAATGGACCCAAGCCGAGCGATTCGACTCGAGTCGACTCGATTTTCGAACCGAGCCGAGTGCGCCCCCACTTTAGCCGTGTTCCACATGCCAAGTGTTTCCCATTCTGGGCGGGAAAACCCACCCAAAGGACACCACCCCTTCCCCCACAAGAAAAGGAAAAAAGA